AGAGGCTAGCAGCGACCATCCCTTCATAGTGTTCGGAGCAGAGGCTATGTCGTGTACATGCCAACCGAACTGTACCTGTGCGACGACACAACGGGAGGGCACAGCCATCATCCTGTGGAGAGGTCCTTTCACTGTTTGTGGTAGAATCAGCCGGATTGCTGTCCAGGGGGTGCAGTGCTTGCAAATGCTCATCGACATCCTGTTCCAGACGGATGAGCCAGACTGAGTGACCCTCCAGCATTTGGTGATAGAAAGAGTTAATATTTCCCACTGTGTGCACCCTACCGCCATTGGCCCATAGGGTCCATGAATTATCTGCAAAGGTAAGAGCACTGAAGTGACCTGGACGATATAAGATATATGCCCGAATATTCGGATCCGTGCCTGGCTCGTGGTTTTGCGGAGCAGGCTGCAATTGCAGTCGCCTACCCATAAATGTATAGCCAGGACTTCTATGTTCACCCCAGGCGCAGCGCTGTCGTCGTCTGGGCAGATGGCACGGTACTCTTCTTCTATCCAGCGAACAACGTCTGCGAAATCAGCAACAGTATAAGGATTACAATTGTAAGCAAGGAGGCATACATTAATGGCATAGTACGCACAGCCCCATCGCTGTAGCGCTATGACATTGTCTGATTCCGCAGGTTGCGTGGGGGATCCGTTTACGGCAGGGGGATCCTCGTTCGATTCTGCAGGTTGCCCAGGTGGCGGAGACTCGTGGTCTTGACCAATTGGCTCCGGTATGTGCTCCAGAGAGAGATGAACGTCAACCGGGGGCTCCGTCAGGTAATCAGGAGACGGGCCATTGTCATTTGGGGCAGGGGAGCGAGTGGGGCTAGGTGGATGAGAGAGGGGTGGGTCAGGTGGGTGAGAACTGGGTGGACCAGAAGTGGGAATCGAAAGCTGATCAGCCTCACTTGTGCTCAGGGCGGCTGCTAGTCGTGCAAACGCTGCACAAGTAGCTGCACCTCATGTCTGGTGCACTTGTAAGCCTGCAGCACTGAAGAAATCATCGCCACATTGCGGGCATCGGACTCGATGTGCACTATTCCTCGCTAGTGTATACTGAAAGCGACGATGTCGTTCCGTACGGTTGCGAGCATGTCGTCGGAGCAGATCTCTAACCCCTGCAGGGGGCGCGGTGATCATGCCATTCAACGACAAACGAGGCCGCTGTCTTGGAGGCTGTTGTGGAGATGGGGAACGTCTCTGTCGAAGATGCATCTGTAACGATCAATCTAACAACGGATACCTCGGCCGACAGAGCCTTCGTGACGACCGATCTGACCATGAGTGCGTTGATGATGAGGTGAATGATGAGGAAGTAGAGAAGAAGTAGGGGAAGAGGAAGAAGAAGATGATGCAGATGACTGAGAGGATGCTGCAACGGAGGACGTCGGTGGGGGTGGGGTTGATGATGGTGTGATAATGATGGCAGTGGTGGTGGTGGTGGTGGTGGTGGTGGCGGGGGTGGTGGTGGTGGTGGAGGCGGCGGTGGCAGCAGTGGAAGTGGAGGAGGTACACCTTCAGCCGCAGCAGCAACAACAACAGTCGTTGTATTGGTAGGATGCTGGCCTTCATCCCTTACTGCCATTTCGGTAACGTTCACATTGTTCACTGTGGCTGGCATAATCTCTGGCTGAGTTGGCGTATCGACATTAGCGTCTGCCATTTCAGCACGGATAACAGGGGGAGGCGGGCGGTCTGCATTTGATTGTGCGGAGGGCTGATGCTGGCTGCGGTCAACATTGGTGTCAGGCGATGAGTGGTGGTCTCTTGTGCGCGGTTGGGTGGAGGACCTGCGCACTGAATCAGCTTTCGGGAGTGGGTGAGCGATTGCCCAGCGAACCATTCGACGAAACCAGTTCGAAAGTCGTATGACATGAGTTGGTAGCCGGCGTTGTCGGCCACGCACATATGCAGTCCAGCCTCTAGCCAGGACACTGGGAAGATGGCCCCTGACAAGCATACGTCGTGTCAGGGAAGTCGCTGCCGCTTTGAAGTCAGTAATATTGTTATATATATGTTTGAATCTCGTTAGTTGTCCCGTGAGCACACCTGCAGGCTGATGAGCCGGAGCGTTGGAGGAAGTACTGGGATAACGTATGACAGTGAACGTCTAGGTCTCGGCCTTATCAAATACGCCAATGTGAAGTGAGCCATCAGACCGAACCAGGATTCTTGCCCCAAGGAAAAGACATGACCCATCTTGCTCAGTAGTGTCTTTCCACTCAAGACCATACCGAGCAGGAGACAGCAGTAATGTCTTCCAGGATAGAATGTCATTAATGAATCGATATGTGAATGCATATGCTTGCGCAGCACGCAGATCTCGCTGACGAAGATCATCGATGAACTGTGCTTCATCCCAATAAAGCATGAGGTTGGCAATTTCTGGTCCAGCGTTAGTGCCCATAGGGATACCGACCACCTGATGACGCAAAGTGCCATCCCTTGTATAAAGGTAAGTATTAGAGACCACGAACCGCAGATGTTGCTCTATTTCTGACACCGAGAGGGTGTCTGACCCATGTGAAGTAACCCACTCCCCACGATGAGGACCACCTATAGTCATGTACATCTGTACTGGCCTTCTGGCCTATGAGATCCGCCCCAAAGCATAATCATGTGCTTCACGAACATCATTCAGAACATTGTTAAACCACCAGTACTTCCTAAAGTCATGCCCGTTAACGCACCACGATTTTAGTAAACGTACGGGACACTACAGGAGCACCCAAATTCATCCAATTAGAAACGTTTGTACTCTATTTTTTTCTGCGGCCGATAGCTGGGCCAAGTACTGGTGGTTTAAGAATCCTGTCGTATGGCAGGTTCATGTACATAGTTGTAAAATCCGTTGTATGTGGTGTACAACCTTGAAGGGATTGTGCGTTCTGCTTGAGATCCATAATGACTTCCTCAGCACTTTGCACGCTCCAGCAACACCGTACACCACTTTCTTGATAAAGCTCATTATCCTTACTGCGCAGGGACTTGATCACACCTTGAAGGGCGTAGCTAAGTGACTGGGAAGCCATTGTTGTACTTGCAAAAGGCTTATGAGGGGGTCTGTTGTATAGGTCCGTAACTGAAGGTCGGTGAGGTGTCGTACAAAGGTGCAGATCGGGAAAGGTTGTTTCATTGTGTAACTCCAAGAATCGGAGGAAGGGCAAGTGGAGATTTGTGTGCAAAGTAGAGATAGGGCAGGGTGTCAGTATGTTGATAGCCCCAACGTTGGTTGAAAAGTGCATGGCGTTTGAGGATGCTGGCCACAGTCTCTGATGCTTGATTGTAGGTGGAAGATGTTGTGATAAGTTATACTTGTACCAGTGTTTGCAGCAGATTGCCATGTTGTGTGATGTTTTATTGACAGGTACTATAGCGAATTGCTGTTGTAGCTGCCGAAGAGATGTGTTGGCACCACGCGAGGCAGTTTGAGTAGGTGCTTGGTACGGTGACGCAGTACTATTCCGTTGGCATCTTGAAAGAACTGATGTGCGCCATCTGCGCAGCTGAGAGAGACTGTCAACAATCAGAGACTCATTATTGCGTGCTGATCTCATGGTTGCTATAAATTTAGCTATATACTCGTCCAGACCGAGTTTCAATGCTTTCATCACATTTGTGGTGTCGGCATTGAGGCGGTACTTGGAGCCTTCAAAGACGAGAGCTCTCAAGTGTGTATCTTGTATAATGGTGTAGTCCATTGTGGCTACATGACCGTCAACAGTGTCTACACATTGTGGGAATACTTGTCGACAAGGACAATTGTCAGGGTCTGGAAGAGGCTGTGTGTGTGTGTGTGTGTGTGTGTGTGTGTGTGTGTGTGTGTGTGTGTGTGTGTGTGTGTGTGTGTGTGTGTGTGTGTG